CCCCCTTCCTCTTTCCCCCTTCCTCTTCCCCCTCACTCTCTCCCTCCCTCTCCATCCTTTCCTTCCCTCCCTCCCTGCCACCTGAGCCTTTGACACCCTTAGCTCCACATACCAGGTAATTTCGCTGCTGGAAGCCTGAGGGCAGCTCACAGATACGCGGCACGTCTGGTTGTAGCACTAATGCAACTCTTGAAACTTTCTTACCAAGGAGAGAGAGTGCTCCCTCCCTCCCTCCCCCTGCTCCCCTCCCTCCCTCCCTCCCTCCCTGTCTCCCCTCCCTCCTCCCTGTCTCCTCCCTCCCTCCTCCCTTTCTCCCTCCCTCCCTCCCTCCCTCCCTGTCTCCCTCCCTCCCTCCCTCCCTCCCTCCCCTGTCTCCCTTCCCTCCCTCCCTCTCTCTCTCTCCCTTCCCAAGTCTTCCATTCTTCTTTTTGCTGTTTTCTCTTGTGCTATGGAATATTTTTACTGGACATTTCTACTGATTGATTTGCCTCTCAGGTACACCATTTGCACCACAAGAATTGGAATGAGCTAAAAGTCTTCAATGTTTTGTTTTTTTCGTTCGAGTGTTGTGGTTAAGGCAAGGGATGGAATATTTCACTGTGGATGGTTTGCCTGGTTGGTGGTTTCTCTTCGGTATAATATGGAGGTGCGTCAACTACAACAAGCTAAAATTCTTCAATATTCTTCTATCTCTCTTTTTCTTTTTGTATTCCTGGGACGCTGTGTTTGAGCAAGGAATGGAATATTTATTTTGGGGTAATTTTTCCAATCAAGTATATTCACCGAGATACAATAACAACAGCAGCAGCCACCGCCACACGCCGACCAATCTTGTTGCTTCCGGGAAGTCTATGGTACAACAAATGGAATGAAATGGTATATTTGTTTTAACTTTTTTGCTTCGGTGGAAAATTCTTACAGCCAAGTGTGCTTTCTGGAACACAATAGCGACACACACGAGGAAGTTGTTTCCTCTAGCTATAAGAAAGAAGAGTGTAGCAATGAGTTCTCAAGTTTGTGCCCAGTCATGGTTCACGTGAGGGCTGTGGATATGTAAAAGAAGCAATAATGTGTTAGCCTTCAACCCTCCATACTGCTGGGGAAGTTATTGCAACAAGAGGTTTGCAACAATAAGATACAATAAGGCTGCAACAGTAAGTCTCCAGTCAACTGTGTACCCTGCAACACTAAAGGATCGCGAGGGGCCACAAGAATAAGTTTTGGCTTTTGATAAATTCCCAACCTCTTATGTCATTTGAATGAACGAACCTCTGAAACAGCTAAGACATTTTCCACGCTCCCTTGACTCTTGAAGTGGGCGAGGAAGAGGAAACAGCTTCCATCACGTAGAGACAGTTTCTCCTGGAGGTATCTGTGCCAAAGACAACCTGTGGCATAATAAGACATGTTTCTTTAAGTCCCCAGCCCACTTCATCCTCTTGGAACAAACGAAAGACGTCGACTTGGCCTCCCTTATAAAAAAAAAAAAAAAAAAAGAAACCTGGACTCCGGCAATAAGATTTCCGAAGCCACGACCACCAAAGTTATTTTGACCGGGACCCCAAGTAACTCAGCTTTAGGCAGCTTCCTGGAAAGACCTCGAGACAACACAATTTCCTACCTCCTATGACTTCTGAGACGGGGGAAAAATCACAAACTGGGGGAAAATACCGCCAACACTACTGACGAAATAACTCCGTGTCAAATACCTGACTTATCCTCTTGGGGGCGGTAAATTTATTGACCCGTTTTATAGCCCCCTCCTCTTCCCCCCATGCCCTCCTCCCTCACCCTACCCTCCTGAACACGCACACACACACACACACCCAGAGAGACTATAGTTGTAAGGCCAGACCTGTGAGAATTAGAACGGTGAAATGCTGCCTTCTTTCTTTCTCCTTCCTTTCTTTCTTTCTCCTTCTTTTACAGTTTCGTAATTTATTTCCTTTTTGTACTATTTCGTATCTCTCTCTCTCTCTCTCTCTCACACACACACACAAGCCAATATCATCGACACCTCAGTTGGGCCACTACTTAATCCCGACCACCAAAAGATAAACTTCAGTTTGCTCGAGACACAAGAGAGATAACCAGTTGGGCGGTAGAACAAACACTTGCCAACACTCTGTCAGGACCACTTCTTCTGCTTTCCCCAAGGTCCGGGGTCAGCTGGTCCACACTGCACGGGTCCTCAGGATGGTTCCTGAGAGGGGTGGTGGGTGGGTGGGTGGGTGGGTGGGGTGGGTGGGGGAGACTTCCAACTAGACCCTGTGACTTATATATAGGTGAGGTGGTCAGGTTGGTGTGGCAGCTGGTTATGTGACTTACAGATGGTTTAGGGACTTGAAAAGTTTGTTTCTTGGGGTTCACAGCTGGTTCAAGGAAATCTCTATTTTTGTCTATTGTTCTCCCAGCTGGTTGAGAGGGAAGTGTACATACGTGTGGGTTTTGAGGCCTCACAGATGGTCTTTGATATATTCCAGCTGGTGTAGAGGCTTTTAAGGACCCAACAGCTGGCCTCCAGATGGTAGCGGCGTCACCCTCGAGAAGCTAAAATCTCTCTCTCTCTCTCTCTCTCTCTCTCTCTCTCTCGGGAAGATGGCATGCGATGGAGGTGTTTGTTTTAATCCTGTTTTATAGTGTTTTGTTTATGGGTAGGACCGGGGTGTTTGTTTGGTGGTCGGTGGTTCTTGGTGTTTGTTTGTTTCTTTATGTGTGTTTAGTGAGTGGATGTTTTATTAGGGATGTTTTGTGTGATGTTTTATTTGTAGTAACTTAAGCACAGCACACACACACACACACACACACACACACACGGGACCTTGGGAGAAAAACGTGGTCTATTTAATTCATCTCGGGTGAGCTGGACCGTTTATGGCTTTACCGATAATTGTGTTCTGGTCCAAACTGGCAACCCCTTTCCACGGGAGGGGGAGCAGAGGGGTAGAGGGAGGAAAGGAGAGGGGAGGAGAGAGAGGGGTGAGAGGGAGGGGGTGAGAGGGGGTGAGAGGTGGGGGTGAGAGGAGAGGGGTGAGAGGGAGGGGTGAGGGAGGAGGAGAGGGGGGTGAGAGGGAGGGGGTGAGAGGGAGGAGAGATATGATGGAAGGAAGGAAGATGGGGGGAGAGCGGGAGGGAAGGAAGGGTAGAATGGGAGGGAGGGAGAAAGAGTGTGGGAGGGAACGGAGGGAAGGAGGGGAGAGAGTGAGGGGTAACTGAGGGAGGAAGGGAGAGAGTGACAGAGGAGGGAGGAAGGGAGAGAATGACAGGGGAGGGAGGGAGAGAGTGGGAGGGAGCGGAGGGAGGGGTAAGAAACATTTCTCACATGTTAGAGAGAGACAACATTTCTCATATGCGACTGAGGAAGAATCTCTCACTAAGAGAAATACTGGGTAGGAATTCCTGACTATATACACTACAGTTAACATCTCACCTGTTAACACTTTATGCCTCAGTTAACACTTTATGCCTCGCTTAACACTTTATTCCTCACTTAACACTTTATGCCCCAGTCAACACTTTATGCCTCACTTAACACTTTATTCCTCACTTAACACTTTATGCCCCAGTCAACACTTTATGCCTCACTTAACACTTTATGCCTTACTTAAAACTTTATGCCTCACTTAACACTTTATTCCTCACTTAACTCTTTATGCCTCACTTAATACTTTGTCTCACTTAACAGTTTATGCCTCACTTAACACTTTATGCCCCAGTTAACACTTTATGCCTCACTTAACACTTTATGCCTCACTTAACACTTTATGCCTCACTTAACACTTTATGCCCCAGTCAACACTTTTTGCCCCATTCATCACTTTATGCCCCATTCATCACTTTATGCACCATTCAACACTTTATACCCCATTCAACACTTTATGCCCCATTCAACACTTTGTCCCATTCAACACTTTATGCCCTATTATCACTTTATGCCCCATTATCACTTTATGCCCAAGTCAACACTATACCCATTCAACACTTTATGTCCCATTCAACACTTTATGCCCCAGTCAACACTTTATGCCCCAGTCAACACTTTATGCCCCAGTCAACACTTTATGCCCCAGTCAACACTTTATGCCCCGGTAACAGCAAGATTCTCTACTCGACTTTTCTTCACCAAAACTTTTTAAGAGTTAGTTTGAACCTCTCGGGCTAAGGGGGGGGTATCCTTGTTTACACCCTCCATAAAGATGTTTGCGGTGTTTGTTTTTAGACGGGTGTTTGTTTGTTTGTTTTGTTTATGTGGGGTCTTTGCTGTATTTATTTTTCCACTGTTCATTAGTTGTTTGTGATGTTTGTTTACATAGTTCATTTTGGTGGTGTGTTTTTTCCCCGTTCATAAGTTGTTTGCCTTCCAAGCTTTATAGAGTTGTTTGTAGTCTTTGTTTATACATATTTTAAAAGGTACAGAGATGGGGGTTAGTGGATTGTTTGCATAAAATTGTCTGTAATGTTTGTTGTTTTGTGGTTGAGCATTTTTTTCTTATCCATTTTGTCGTTGTTTGTGATATTGTTTGGTACCGTTGATTAGGAAATGTTCGTGTAGTTTGCAAAGTTAATTACGTTGTTTATAACTCTCTCTCACACCACTATTTACGGTCAGTCTTTGCTTCATTAATAATAAAATGGGCCAGTATTGAAAATCGTTCGTTTCTGAATTCAATGACTGAGTTGAGCAGTGACTTAACCTCCTGTAATCTGGCAGTGTTCTTGTAAGCGAAGCGCGGGGTCCTACACTAGTTCATAACCCGGAAGTTACTGTAGTCTTTTATGGGGTTATTCACCTGTGCATAACCCTGATTTTGCTGTAAGCTTTTTATTTAGGTGAATCGCTTGGTACGTAACCTGGAATTTTAAACCATGGAATCCTTGGTGGTTATGTATTACTCGACAGTTCATAACCCGGAGTTTTAGTTACAGAAGGCTTTTATTGGTGGGTGTAATTCCTCATTTCATAACCCGGAATTTAGCTTTTAAATCTTTTTTATTGTCAGATATCCACGCTTAAAGGAGAGTCACCGGTACACAAGCCGGAATTTAGCCTAACATTCACTCCTGGTTTACGTTAGTTCCGGTTTGTTGGACGGTCGTTAAACCCGGGAGATGCTCGATGTTGTGGTTTGGGTAATATTAATTCCGGTTTATGTAGAAGATGTTATTAAATCCCACCTGCTCTCAACTGCACTGCCATTCTCTCCATCCCTCCCTCACTCCCTCACCCTCCTCACCCCCTCACCCTCCTCACTCCCTCACCCCCCTCACTCCCTCACCCCCCCTCACCCCTCACCTCCTCACTCCCTCACCCCCCCTCACTCCCCTCACTCCCTCCTCCCCTCACCCCCCCTCACTCCCTCACCCCTCACTCCCTCCCACCCCCCTCCACCCCTCCCTCCTCACCCCTCACCCCTCCTCTCCTCACCCCTCCTCCCCTCACCCCCCCTCACTCCCCTCCCACCCCCCCTCCCCCTCACCCTCCCTCACTCCCCTCACCCCCCACCTCCCTCACCCCCCCTCCCACCCCCCCCCTCCCCACCCTCCCTCCTCCCCTCACCCTCCCACTCCCTCCCTCACCCTCCTCCTCCCTCACCCCCCTCCTCCCCTCCCACCCCCCCCCTCACCCCCCCTCTTGTGACGTGTAGATGATAATGAGGAAAGTTGGGACGTTTTATCTCGCCTCACCTCACTGGAGACACCCCTCCTCACCCAAGTCTCTTATGGTGAGAGAGAGAGAGAGAGAGAGAGAGAGGGAGAGAGAGAGATACTCTGGTTTACAATATTATAATTATTCATTATTCGTCTCTCTCTCTCTCTCTCTCTCTCTCTTTTTAAGTCATGTTAGTGGTCGTTCACTTTTTACAAGCAAGTTCCATTACTGCAGAGAGGAATATGTATCAGGGCTCACGTCATTCCCGGACCGGCGAAGGTATTAGCCTGGCGAGGGGTTTAGCCTGGCGAAGGGATTAGGGCGAAGGGTTTAGCCTGGCAGCCTGGCGAGGGTTTAGCCTGGCGAAGGGATTAGCCTGGCGAAGGGTTTAGCCTGGCGAAGGGTTTAGCCTGGCGAAGGGTTTAGCCTGGCGAAGGGTTTACCCTGGCGAAGGGTTTACCTGGCGAAGGGTTTAGGGTTTAGCCTGGCGAAGGGTTTACCCTGGCGAAGGGCCTGGCGTTTACCTGGCTAAGGGAAGGTTTCCTGGCGAAGGGTTTAGCCTTAGGTTTAGCCTGGCGAAAGGTTTAGCCTCATGTATGTATATAAATTCATTATTATTTTTTCTTATGTTTTATTGATTTTTTAATGTGTGTGTGTGTGTGTGTGTGTGTGTGTGTGTGTGTGTGTGTGTCCCTCGCTAGACAGGTACAGGAGAGAGAGGCTTCACGACTTCTCACTCTCTTGGTCACTCTCTCTCCTCCTCTCTCCCCTTCCCTCTCCCACATTCTTCTTCTTTCCCTCTTCCATCCCCCCACTTCCCTCTCCCTTCTCTCTCTTCCCTTGTCGTTTATTCTACATACCTTGCTGGGTCAAAGGTCAAGGTTACAACAGCGGTGTGTCCTTCCTCTCCTCCTTCCTCTCCTCCCTCCACCTCTCCCCCATCACCCTCCCATCTCTCTTTAACCCCTACATCTACCCTCCCCTCCCTCCCCTCCCCTTCTCACTGACGAATTGCTTGTTGAGTGACGACTGATGCAACTCCTCCCTCCTCCTCCTCCTCCTCCTCCTCCTCCTCCTCCCTCCTCCTCCTCCTCCTCCTCCTCTCCTCCCTCCTCCTCCTCCTCCTCCTCCTCCTCCTCCTCCTCCTCCTCCTCTCCTCCTCCTCCTCCTCTCCCGCCTCCTCTACCTCCTCCTCTTCCTCCGTGATGCTCTTCTGACCACAAGTATCATCGTGGGCGGGGGACACACTGTCATCGTAAACTTAGTAGTATTGGGAATTTTCGTCAACAAGTTTCTGATTCTCTTGTTGTTCAGTGAACCAGCTGGGAAAAATAGGTTCTGATCCCTTGTTATTGCCGTCCACCGATGATATTTTTGTGTGTGAGTGTGTCGTCTATAAGCTCCAGACTCATGTAGGATTCAATGTTTTTTTTTTATGGCGTCTATAGTGTCCCTTTGTTTTCAGGTTACAACCCATTTGTGGCGTCTATAGTTTAGTTTATTACGTCTATAGCGACTCTTTAGCGTGTTTAATTACTTAATGACATTTTTAAAACCAGACTTTCATGAGGGATCTAATCCTTTGTAGTCGTCTATAATGATGGTCTTTTGTTTGATGTATGGAGGACGACGACCACAGAGAAGATAAAAACAATCAATGTCTAGTTTCTTTATTGCTGACGATTCTCGGGGCATTTCCTTCCACCAAAAGCGACTAAGCTTCATAAAGTGATATTAAAATAATACAAATAATCTATAAATACAGCAACATGAAATATTTTATTAATTTTCAGTAGAAGCTGTAAAAGTCACGCGAGAGATTATTCAAGAGTCTTTTGTTTATGGGATCCAACACTTCCTGACGTTTATAATAGTTGTGGTGTTTATAGTTCTGCATTGTTTACCGTTCTTGTGTCTTGTGAGATTCGTGTCTTTATATAGAACTTCAGAAGTGTACCAGTGCCTCAGCGAGCGGTCAACATCGCCTGATGTCGTTCCCTGTTAACCCAAGTGGCTGTTTATTGAACGCCAGACGAACGTTCACTCAGCTTTCTTGTCTCAGTGACGTTCTCGTGATGGTCAGTATCGAGTGTGTTTGGGTCTTATCTCTATCAACAGCGAATGTCTGACTGTCAACCCCCACAAGCGACTCCCTGACTGTCAGCCCCCACAAGCGACTCCCTGACTGTCAGCCCCCACAAGCGACTCCCTGACTGTCAGCTCCAACAAGCGACTGTAACCCAGACCTTCGTGACCAAAATAATGACTTACCTGTTGTAATCTGACTCCCCTCCTCCTTCCACCCTTCCACCCCTCCCCTTCCACCCCTCCCCTTCCACCCCTCCCCTTCCCCTCCCCCCTTCCTCCTTCCTTCCCCTCCACCCTATTTTTTTTTAAGTATTATTGTTGGTTGCTTTACCTGGGCATATTAACGGGGGGGGGCTAATTAATCACAGGTGTTATTATTATTATTATGGCGATGTTAGACCATTATGCCAGGTAATTATTGGCTTCTTGGCGTGTTTTTGAAAGGTTATTTGATTACAGGTGTGAGTATTGTGTCTACCTGGATATTTCTCAGTGGTGATTGGTCGAGGGGTGATATTTACCTGGGAATGAAGGGGAATTCTGTGAGGTGATTGGTTGGGATGTTTATTTACCTGCGTGATTCTCATTGGTGATTGGTCGAGGGGTGATATTTACCTGGGAATGAGGGGGAATTCTGTGAGGTGATTGGTTGGGATGTTTATTTACCTGCGTGATTCTCATTGGTGATTGGTCGAGGGGTGATATTTACCTGGGAATGAAGGGGAATTCTGTGAGGTGATTGGTTGGGATGTTTATTTACCTGCGTGATTCTCATTGGTGATTGGTCAAGGGGTTACCACACTCTAGATACTTCACGTAAAACTGATCTATCTATCTATCTATCTATCTATCTATCTATCTATCTATCTATCCTCTCACAACTAGTAATGAGGTTAACACATGGGGGTTTGTACCGCCACCGTGACCAAGGGTGTCATAACTCTTCAGGTAATTACAGGTGTGCCGCGTTATGCCACCTCCTGTAATGAATAATAACACCTGTTTTATTTTATTAGTTCCCCCCCTTATGTTGTTATTGAGGTAATCGGTGTGATTTTATTTTTAGTCCTGTAGTTTTTTGTAGTTTTTTTTTTGGTGTTTTGTGATTTTGTTGAATTTTTTTATCACTGTGTTTGTTTGTTTGTTTATATACTTATTTATTTATGTTGATTATATTGTTTAGTTGCATTTGACGGCATTTTTTATTTCTTTGAATTTATTTAATTTATATTTTTAATTTTATATATATTTTTATGTATTTTCTTATTGTTTTTTTATTTAATTTTATTTTATACTTTCAATTCGATTATTTTCATTTATTTCTGATAATTACGAAAAGTTGTATAATTATCGCTACAGCTGTTATATAATTTCCTCACCATTTTGGTATACAATTTCATCTCTCTCTCTCTCTCTCTCTCTCTCTCTCTCTCTCTCTCTCTCTCTCTCTCTCTCTCTCTCTCTCTCTCAGTTGGGTACAGAGTCAGAACTAAGAGAGTTGCCTCACCTCTGAAGTGAATAAATTATTGTGTGTGTATATATGGGTGTAGTGTGTGTGTGTGTGTGTGTGTGTGTGTGTGTGTGTGTGTGTAAAAGAGAGAGAGAGAATCAATATAAAGCAAACAAAAGACCAATAAACACACACACACACACACACACACACACACACACACACACAAAACAGACAGACAGCAATTAAGACCCAAAGGTACAAGAGAAAGCGAAAAGAGATGAATCCCCGAGAGAAAGTGGGAGAAAAGAAAGTAAAGTTGACAGCTTTCACTGGAATCTTGAGCTATTTTTAGAAAGCTTGCTCCAACAATCTCGCTCCTTGGGTACGATTAGTGAACGCCGCTCAGAATGTGAACGCTGGTGTTTGAATGAGCGAACGGGTCTGGAGAAAGTGAACGCGTCTGGAGAAAGTAAGTGTGTATAAAGAAAGTGAACGTCTCTGGAGAAAGTGGACGCCTCAAGAAAATGAACGCCTCTGGAGAAAGTGGACGCCTCGAGAAAGTGAACGTATGCTATGAAAGTGGACGCCTCGAGAAAAAGTGAATGTGTTAAAAAAAGTGAACGTCGCTAGAGAAACTGAATGCTAATGTTGAATAAGTGAACGCCGGTATTGAACAAGTGTTAAGAGAGAAAATTGGACGCCAGTATTGAACAAGTGAACAAATATTAAGAGAAAACTTAATGCCAGTATTCAACAAGTGTTATTAAAGGAAACTGAACGTCAGTATTGAATAAGTGAACAGGTGACTAGAAAGTAAAGTGAACGCCGGAGTGAACAAGTGACCAGATATGAAAAAATGTG